CGGCTCTGTCTTACGCCGCAGCCCCAGCCCTCTCTTACGCCGCAGCCCCAGCCCTCTCTTACGCCGCACCCGTCGCCAAGATCGCCGCACCCCTCGCATACGCCGCCCCCCACGCCTACATCCACTGAACCGATCAGCTACCTTAGGATAATGTTTACCGAATAAAGTCACTTTTTTAGCAACCATACATCCGCTTCGATTCAATCGCAGAGCGTCCGCTCTCTCTCTCTGCTTTTATTCCTCGAATTTCTACCGCCTGTTCGTTACGGCGAGGACCCGCGAGTCGCAGCCGGGAAACTGTATCACAGCTGAATATTCATTTTCACGCTTGAGAATGCGGACAGTTGCCCGTTTGCGGACTCATTCGCTTCAGTAATTAGGCACTGGCGCGTTTGAAGCTTTTCGAGTAACCTTCCCGGTTGGAAATGGTTACTTCGGCTCGCGAACGCTTGACACGCTAACGGGCAGACTACCGAAGCTGAGTAGCGAACTGTTCGAGCGGATCTTAACACGCTGAATGCTGTGGGGGTCACCGGTGACCCACCGAAGTGAATTACTATGGTTCGCTCGATTAAACGGTGATCATTCGATCGGATTCGCATGTTGCAAGCGATGCTACCGAATGCAGTGATATTCGGCTAGACGAACGTGCAGTAATAACAATGCGATTCGATGGAATGATTCGATATTTGACTTTTTCCATTTTCTGTGGTTTGCTCTGCGAGATCGTGCGGCATTGACGTATTAAAAATCGCTCGGTCGAGACGTTACCGAAGAGAAATATTTCCCAAAGATTCTCGAATGAACGCTCGATTGGGACCGATTCGAACTCGTTCAAGGTCACTTTCTCAACCGTGAATTAAACGGCACACGCAATACTTATTGTTATGCCATTCTAACGCTGAGAGATAGTACGAATCTAAATGTCAGTGCTTTCCATTGCTCGAGCGGGGCGAGCTACAACTATGAATTGAAATGGAGAAGCGTCCGAATAGCATGGACGACCTTGAGCGTTGAAGAATTAACACATAACTAGAAATTGTTCCATCGACTGCTCAGCATTCAACATTGTTCGCGTGTACTCCTATTAAATATTACATTATACATGTACAATTTTAACGAGCGAACCCGAACTCTAACTGAAATTCCGATTAACTCGATCGCCCGACGAATTAACACCTCTTGCTAGATTAATTCAACAAAACTCAATGTCGTCCATTAGCCAACAGCTCGAAGTGAAACGCTGTTCTGCTATAATCGATGTATCATCTTCAAATGAAATGTCTTAATCAGAAAATTTCGTTGCATCTCTTCCAAATTGCCAATAGTAGAAAATTTACAACTCATACTAATTTACTATATTATTCTACTAATTTTTATAATTACATCAAAATAATTTACTATATTATTCTACTAATTTTTATAATTATATCAAAATAATTTACTACATTATTCTACTAATTTTTATAATTACATCAATAATTCACTATATATCATTACGTTACTATTTACAGTGAAACACTAAGTAGCCAAGCAATTAGCGCACCAAGGGGTTAACATCGTTCCCCGGGGACTCCCCGTTCCCCGTCGAGGCCCGAAACCTGTTCGGGTCGCGGCAGGTCCGGCGAAGGACGCGAAAGGGTTGCGAGGCTCGTCAGAAAGCGAACGTTGCGCAAACGCGCGCCAGACGAGGAGGGCCACGCGGGAAAGGCTAGCGCCGGAGAATCGGGTAAACGATGACGCGGCTGTTACATTCGCGTTTCGCTCGTTAAAAGAGAGACCGCCGCCGCCGCTGCTGTTCTTTTTCCTTTTTATCATTAATTCACGGACAACGCGGGCCGCGCGCTCTCCGACACTTTCTCCGCTAGCGCCCGCGCCGCGAGTTACACAATACGCAACCACGCCTCGCACGCACCGAGCGTGTAATGCACGTAATACGGATCGTTGCGTTAATCGGGAACTCCGGGCAAACCAGATCCGCGCAACGCCAGCGGGAACCTTGATCCACTTACGATCCAGTATAACCCTCCTCCGTGACAACGGTCCCCGTGCCTTTATTCTTCGTCAAGCTCGTAATTGACGATTTCTTTCGAATCGAACCTGTTCTCTTCCCCTGCTTACCATTTCTTTTGTTCCAATGTGTTCTCGGACCTCGTGGACGCGCGGCTGTTTTAACGCGTTAAGCGCCACAAAAATCTTAAGCATTTTCCCATAGAGTTTGTCTTTTGCAGCAAAGAAAAGCAGGAACGATTATGAATTGTTTGGCGTTGCAACGTTTGCGTTACACTGTCATCAACTTAGTTGCGTTGTTAAACATTTTTATTTCACATCGGTTGTCTTGTATGTTACGATTGGTTTTTAGTCATTCAGAAGCGTCAGTCACCAGTGACTGACATGGCGCTTAACGTGTTAAAGAGAGAGACAGAGATAGTATATGTATATATACATGAAAATAACTGAGATTTATCGTTATATTTTATTAGAAAAATACAACGCAAACAATGTTTTGTTTAACAATAGACTATAGATATAAATATATTATTTTTACTTACGAAAATATGCCTTTTTGCACGCCTCGTGTGTACACCTATTCAGACCGCTCTTTCGGAGACACTAATACTTTTCAACTAGGTAGAAAAAAGTATCCTAAACGCTTATCGACTACGGATACACTGAAACTCATCGTTCGCATCTCAGTGACGGGTGATGACACTTGACACTGAATGTACTTAGAGATGCTTTGGGTATACAGTCGATCGATTTTTCACAGGGAAAGTAGAGAGAGAAAAGAGGAAAGACGAACGTTGAAAAATCGATCGACCCGACGATGTGAGTTTGTGTACAGTGGACATGAATGAAACGATGACAAAGCCGAAGACTGGTCTCGTTGCGGTACGTTCAGCGACAAGTCAAACGCGGATAAAACTTTCCAGTGTGAATAAGTAATACTACCAACATCGTAAATACACTATGTTCATTGAACGGTGCTGTTAAGTCCTGAGAAAAAAATTGAAAAGTTCGTTCGAGTCGTGACCTAGTCCTGATTTCTTCTTTCCGGCGTTGCCAACCTTAAACACGCAAAGCGATTAGAAGCGTATCAGCAGTTCGATCTGTAGAGAAATAGTTCGCGTGTTTCTATTTTCTATTTTCTGTTGTCTAACCTCAATGATCTTAGAGAAACTCGAGTGTTTCGCTTGAATCTCGACTACACTTACCGATGTATCGTTACGTAATCCTCCGCGAGGACGTTGGACGTGTCCAACGGGGTCAGAAACGCGAATTGGCTTTGCGGATGTGTTTTCGCGTGATCCAGAAGAATGTCCATTACGACCCGCCGGTTCACCTTATCCTGATTGCAATACGATCATCGGTAAATGCGCGACACGCGTGCAAACGCGGGCTTCGGTCCTCGCGGATACGTACCATAAACACGTCAAATTCATCGAGGAAATAAAATGGCAAACCGGTGGAGTCCCAGAGTGCTAAAATAAAAGCAACGGTCGAATAAGACCTTTCGCCGCCTGACAACGATCTCGTGTCGTTGATCGACTTCTCGTTCACGTTCAACGGTTGCACTTCAAGTTCAAGCCGTTTCCTCGCGTGGTCGATATTTATGATACCCTGGTTGGATCAGAAGACAAACAACAGTGAACATCACGTTTTTACATTCAGTGGAAGAATCGTTTATGCGAACCTTCTTGTTCCGTAACGCGAGTACGTTCGAGAACGAATTCCTTATTTGTACACCGTACGACTCCTTCATTTGAGAAAATAATTGTTTCCTGGCTTGTAAACGCTGTAGGTGAACCTGCGAACGTACACGAACATCATTTCCTCCATGTATTTATCTATAATCCATCATCATGGAATCATACAGACTACAGTCGAGAGGAAATTCTACGGTACAACTTACTTGATAACTTTTCTCGATTTTAGTAGCCAACTGCAAATTTTTCCCACACTTTGCTTCTTGTACTCTCAGCTGTTTCCGCAGCTGGTCTATAGTGCCCAGTTGTCGCTCTATCTCGCTGATCTTCCCTTTCAAATCTCTGGATAACCTTTCAAGCTCTTTGGGTGATCTGTAAAGAGGAACGAGGGTTTTATTATTCCCTTTCTCTTCTTCCTTTTTGTAGAACGCGACCACCTGCTGCCAGAAATCATGCGTTTCCCGACCTCTCTGTTTCTATCCTGTCGCATTGTTTCATAGCATCGGACACCGCCTTTTTACTGGACCTAGACTGCGCCTCGAATTCCGCTGTTGCGGTCTGCAAGTCTCGACGAGCTCCTTCCACCTTCCTCGCGGCGTGCTGACCTTTCGCTCGCATCGTTTCCCTTTCGACTTGCAGTTGCTTTATATTCGCCTGCGTAACACACGAAACTCCGTTAGCCTAAAGTCCTCGCGCAGAGCCTGAGCGAGGAGTACCTTCAACGGATTGATTTTTAAATCCATATTCTGCCTTAATTCTCTGTGTCGTTTAACCGTTGCCTCTGTGTCCTCCAGCCTCCTCTGAAGCTCCAAAACGTTTTCACTCAAACTGGACTCCTCGGATTTCTCCTGGAGCAATCTCTTTTCCAGCTCGTTCAATTCATTTTTCTGTGGGAAGTATCGTTCGCCATTTACACGAATTCACCGATAACGCGTCGATCATTTTGTCCAAGAGGAGATACTCACGAATATCGTAACGGATATCGCCTCGTTGGCTTCGATCTTATCCTTCAACTCGTTGATGTGCGCTTTATGTTGATTCTGAGTGACGTTGAGCTTCTCTATCAACGCGTTCACAGTTGCAAGCTCGGAGCTCGTTCGTTTCTCCTTCTCGCGAGCTGTGGTGTACAACTGAATCGTTGCATTCTTCTCGCTGTCTATAGTGCGAAGTTCTTCCTCCAGTACGCTGTTCGAATCAATGGAAACACACAGTCGCGGTAACATCCGACGGACAGACTACGCTCAGGAAAGAAGAACGAAGGGAGCTTACTTGATCGTGTCCGAAACGGAGACTTGAAGAAATCTAGCTTTCAAATCACGCGGCCCGCTGTAGCTTCTGTATTGCGGGTCCGGGTAAAATATATCTCCTTTCTGAGTGATCGCCCTTTTACAATTCTGCGGGACCTTCGAAGCGTCGGACATTATGTCGGCTGCCTCCTTGCCAGTCGGGATTAATAGAATGCATTCGACCTCGCGCGAGTCGATCAGGCAGTTCGCAACAATGGGATCCGAGATCTCCATTGCGTCCAACAGATTCGAGTAATTCGGTGAACGAGTGCAATGCGTACGGACGTCGTGAACCTGAAAACATTTGTATATCGTCACGTAAAAGCGTTACAATATCGTACAATGTTCGTAACGGTATATTCCTCACTTTGTAAAAGAATTTGCTGCATATTATCTGTGGAGTCCTTTCATTTAAATAAATCTCCTTCATGATCGTGTTCAATACTTTGGCGTCGCTGTTGTTGTCTACGCAGAATGTGCTGAACGTGCCGGCTCCTAAACAGTTTTCAATCGCTGGTGCCCAAGCTGAATCCTTCAGTTTTATGTACGCCCCTGCTCAGAAATAAAAATTCGAGGATATATATACATTCTAATATTAATTCTAATATAAAATTGATATTTAAAAAAATTATATAATGAATAATCTTCAACCAATAAAATTAAAGAAAATAAAATTAAAAATAAATTAACTTCATATGAAACTGATTGAGCAATAGATCGAATAGAACTCAATATTGAATAATTTGAATTAGAAATTCAACCTCTTAATATAACAGGATAAACATTAAAACCAATAATTATTAATATAAATAAAATTCCATATTCTATAAAAATTGAATAACAATTTAAAGGATAAATAAATCAAATTATTATTGATAATAAAAATATTAAAATAGGTATAAATTTATAAATTAAAAATTTTCTCTTTATCACTAAAAATAATTCCTTTCTTAATCATTTAATTGCATCACTAAAAGGTTGAAAAAATCTTAAAAATTATATATATATAATATAATATAATATAATATATTAAAAATAATATATATATTAGAAATCAGAAATAATAATAGAAGATAAATATAATTACGCTTATACCTAGTGGACCACGTGGCTTTTCCTTGAATTGGCCATTACTATACTCTTCCTCGATCCTTCTCAAAAGGCGTGGGATGTTCGATCCGAACAGAGTCAGAGCGTTATCGGCGTGCTGTTTCCTGACGCTTATCTCGCGCCTGATTTTTTCTGTTAATAGAATAAAATGATTCATCTTGCGACGGAAATTGCGTTACACGGATGCAATTAAATCGAACGAACGGACCACACGTTATATCGAGAAATATTAATTGATGCAAAGAATATACATCAACACTCACGTATACGATTTTCGCAGCTTGCTATTTCTATTTTCGAGGTGTGAATTTCTTTTAGCAGACGCATCTTGTCGGTTTCCAAGTGCGACTGATGCGTTTGTTTAGTTCGTAACAAGGCTTCGATTTCATCCAGCTTTTGCTCCAGATCTGCTAACTGCTGTTTCGTTTCGTTCCTTTCAGTTTGTTCTGCATTGTCGCCGCTGGAAGTGTACGTTCCCGTTGAAATCGTTGTTTATAGAGCAACGATGTTAAAAAAAAACAATTAACGAACCTTTCTAGTCGGTGGATCTCTTTTTTGATCATATTAATGTCATCCTCCAATCTTTTAATCTTACTCCGGGAAGAACGCCACTTTCGCGCTTCATTAGAATACTCCTCTTTCCTGGTAATGCAATCTTGCTTGACTTTATTATATTCTTCTGAATTATTACTAACCTCTTGTTCTATATCTTTGATTTCTTGTTCTAATTTCCTGCAGAAAAATATTATGTACATGTATATTAGACACAGCGGAAGTTTTCAACTTGGTTCAATGAAATTTAATTGCTATAATTGTATCATAGGGATTCTGCAAACAATGCATACCGGATCATCGTTTGTATCTCTTCGTCTCTTAAATCCGCATGCGTTTCCATTTCCATCAGTTCTTTATGAGTATCTTCACACTTTTTTAAAGTCCCCTCGACTTTGTGCAATTTAGCTTCTTCCGCTATAGCCTGCATAGAGTGGAACGTAAATTTTCTGTTATCAATGAAAAATTAGAGATCGTTATCATGGAAGATTCCTCTACTAAATTAGCCACTCACAACTGCCCAAACCAATTCCTTTTCAAGACTGGTCACTTCTTCGCGTAATTCATCGATTTCTTCGGCTCTTTTTATCTTCATTTTCAATACCTCAACTTCTTTTCTGGCCTCTGACAAAATCTGTGAAAATACATACTTGTATATGCGACAGGAAAGAGTTGTTACCAAAAGGAAAGTATTTAACGGAAGCATACTTCGTTGTACTTCTCTAACTTTTTATATTCCTCTTGACACGTTAGATCGGCTTCTTTATAGTTATTGCCTATTACATCTAAAAGGGTGGCTTTCATAAATAATTCATATTTTTCTTCCGGTTTAGAGGACACTAAGAATGTCCTGGATATGTCCTGATTCAGAATGGAAATGGGATTGTCAATTTGAATGTTCATGGCGTGTAGTATACTGTCAAGCTCGTTTCGTTTTGTCGAGACCACTTCTCCTATTAAAAATAGTTGGAAAAATATAACAATGGTGCACAGAATAACGTGCAAGTAGACAGAATGAAATTAATATATAGCGCGAATTTCGATAAGGTATTTTATAGGTATCTCGCGAATTTAAAAAGAGCCTTATCTATCTGATAAATGTATCTATCTTCTTAAGAAATCTATACTAATTCCTTGAACGTGTTTCTGCAAAGAAATATTTCCACTTTCCATGTAACAAATACAATGTACAATAAAGAAGCGATACAAGTTTCAGTCTCTTACAAACCTTTCCAATTCTTTATTTTATACGACGATGTATTTCCAATAGTACGAATAATCACTATCGAATCGCCATAAACGTTTGGTTTATACGCCAATGGTCCTTGATTAAATAAGGTTACTTCGATTGTCGCGTTATTTTTCCCCTTCTTTATGAAACCTATGAGCACAAGATTTTCTTGTAAAAAGAAGAAACGACTCGCCGCATAATAATTCAACAGAAAATACGCTTGTACCTTTCACAGATGCTCCACGACTAGTAACATTCGCCCTGGCGCCAAGACCGACGGTTAACGCTGTCAATATTGCACTTTTACCACTTCCATTACGGCCAACGATGAAATTTACATTCGGATTCAGCACAACTTCCAGGGCATCGTGACACATGAAGTTCCTCAGCAGGACCTTCTTTATTTTACCTGCTTTACGCTGCAAGATACATTGAAGGTACATAAACAACTGTTGATTGTTCAAGCCGAAACATAAATAAAAAACTAACCACTTACGTCTTGCGAGGCATTCTCCTTCTCCTTTGAATTCTCTATGTAATACTCCTCCAGATCAACGGCTTTTCGTTTCCCTCTGGTTCTCGCTTGAATCTCCATGATTATCGGAAGGACTGCGATCTGTTTACCCTCGAGTCGCACATTCGTTCAAATACGCGCAATACCAACGGACGCGAACACCATCTTCTTTCGCGGATATCGTATCGATCAGGACGCGAGACTCGTTTAAATTGTCACAGGATCATCGTACCGTCGTACGAGCTGCGAAATTGTAACTGTTTTCGTCTACTTCATAATATAATCACCAACGAACACGGCGCCCAGTGAAACGCTATTCGGACACGCGAGTAAATCTTCCCGCCAATGACTTCTGTTCACAGCATTCCTCACCATAGTCCACGAAGAATACAGACCCACCGCGAGCTGCCATGCCTCTAACCGCATCCATGATTCCGTAGCTCGGCCGCCAGGTGCTCCCGACGGTTACCAAAACCGTTTCGTATAAAGGACAAATAATCATCAGCCTGATCTCGATGTCGCGTGAAATCTAATGGAGCGAAATAACAGAAAATTCCGAAATCACAGTCGTTAATGTTAACTACTCGTTAGCAGGAAACGAGTTGTTAATGATTCTTCCATGAATTTTTATTTTTCTTGGAATTGCCAAGTGCCGCCGCGAAATAAATCTCCATCTATCGGTAGACCCTTAGGAACAATTGGCAAATCGAATCGCATTCGAGTAGTAATTAATAAAGTCACTACCGATTTTCTGACGCGTCGATTACGTTCCGTAAGAACGTAACGAATAAGACAAGTGTATGAATAATCATTGGACAGTGATTTTCAGTCTGAGCTTGTATCGACTCGCAATTATCGATAGCGCTATCGTTACCTTTGTTCTGTAAGCTTTAATTTGAGCCGTCGAACGTCGGAATCGGCCTACGTAAAGCTGTAGCACAATTCATGCGAATATAAGGATATATTAATGCATGTGCAAGAACGGTTGCAGTTCGGCAGGGGCAAACATTTTCGCGGGCGATACTAGCACCATCTAGCGGACGGGCGTTTTCGAAGCTTCTCCCTGTACCCGCAATGTGTAAGACAAGGACGGAGATGGTGTGCGACAAGGACAATGATAGTCTCACTTGTGCCACCTCCTTGGAAAGAGCATCTCATCGGTCCCTGGTGCGTACGCGCGAAGCATCAGGACCGAGGAGGTTTCCAGGACAGTAATTTTGGTGGCGTCATCTAGCGGTGGAAGCTGCGAACTAAAAGCGACACTGCGATTGGGAATACAACAGCGAATTCATTAATAACTCGACTAGCAGGAATCATTTATGAACATTTGTAACTTAGAATCATAGAATGAACATTTCCCTACTTTCCTATATCGCTTTGGATAGAATTCTTCGCCTCGTTAATTATTTATTAATTATTTCTCGGGACGATGTCACAAGGTAACCAAGAATTTTTTTACAGGTGCCCAGTAAACAATTAAGTTTCTCGCTTAATAGGCATAATTTGTAAACATTTGCGATTGAGGAAATTGGGGTAGACTCATAGGAACATTCACTAGCAGTTTGAACCAGATTTGAGCAGTAATTAATAAGCTATAAGCGATTTTCGGGTAGGTTCTTCGCAGCTCTAAGGAAGTCGTTTTTGGCGCCATCTAGCGGACACGGCGTGGTACTAATTGGCTAGAAGTTTGAACCGTTTTGCACTATGTGGCGCCACCGATGTGGGAGGCGGGATTTTTTAAAATTATTTTCTTAAATTACCTTCGCAGGTTTTTAATAGATTAGACACGACTATTCTGTATTACAAATGAAATATTTAATAAATATTTGACAATAAACAATTAATTATAGATAGATTATATAAAGAAAGCATTTAACTCCGTTCCGAATTCTAAAGAAGAAAAACAAAATTCTAAAATCAACGTTCCCGCTGTTCCTGTTTCGTCGTTTCTTTCCATCAAGAAACCCCTCAAGGGGTCTCTTGCCAGTTTTAGCGAGATTCTTCGAGGGGGTCTTAGAACCCCCCAGAAATCTCTCGTGGGGGTTCGAGGGGTCTCTTGTCAGTTTTAGAGAGATTCTTCGAGGGGGTCCCTCCCAGTTTTAGAGAGCTTTTT